ATAAAGGTCAGTTTTCCGTTAAAAGTCCTGCCAGAAGATATCTATCAAACCAAGCATAAACCAAACCAAATTATTGTTGCTTGACCAGATCCACGATGGGAATGGATAAAAAACTCTCTTAGTTCTACAGAGTGAAAAGATCAGAAGTAAAAAATAAAATTCAAGTTTGAATTATTAAAACATTAATATTTTCAATAACTCTCTATTTATCTTTTATGTATAAAATTTTAAAATGATTTTAAATACTAATTCAGAATGCTATCTTTTAATATATATTTTATGAATTCTAAAAAAAAATAAGCTTTTATATGATATTTTAAAGTATGTTAATTAAATTAAACGTTACAATGATTTATCTGATACAGAAGTTTCTCAATTGATAATAATACGAAGTCAATTATATGCTTAATATAATATGCTTAAACTAGAAAAATAATGTATCACTTAATATATTTATTTTATTATTTCCCCAAACCAAATAAATTAAGGGGCCTAAATGCAAATTCTTGCACAGGGCACAGGAATGGCTAGTTACGGCTCTGTTCAGAAGCTGTCTATCTAAAAGAATCTTGCAAACAATACTCGATGGTGGTGGATTTAAAATAATTTGGTTAATTTCATCCCTTTGTTGTCGTTTCTCACTCACTCGTAGGTTAACTAGTTTTCATTCATGATTTCTCTTCGAGATGCAAGGAAGTGGAAAAGTCAAAAAGAATTCAAAGAATGCTGGGAAAATCTTAAATATCCACTATTGAGTTAGGAAGGTAGGAGTAGTGCCCCCTATCACGAGCTAATGGTGAGAAATAAATAAATAAATAAATAAAAACAAAAACCAAAAAATATATAAAACATTTGCTGTGGTACACCACATGTATATTTAAGCATTTTTTTTGCATTGCAAAAGTCAAGAAATGGTCAGAGTTGAAGAGGAAAATCCAGCAGGACCTTTGGTTTTATACGCTGACAACTTGGATTCAGTTGCAAGTAAACTAGTCTGTCTTATGTCACAAGATGACAATCGCCTTTATCTTCCAGGATGTTTCTAGCAGCTCAATCAATTCCACGTTTTACATTAGTTACAGTACATAGAGAACAACTAATCGAAGCAGCAATTTTCCTCCACTGCCACGAAATCTCCAGATTTCTGTAGTTTTGCACTCTCCGAGTTGGCACGTCTCTTGTTCTCTCAATGATTATTAAAAGTAATGTATCTCTGTTCCTACACTATATGATAGATCATACGAAGAGATACATATAGCCTATGAAGTTATATCAAACATTTAAATACGGCTAATTTAGTTGCCTTTATGTCCTTATCTCTTGTTTTATACTACAACAGGTGAAAAATAAACAGTTTTTTGTTTTTTCTGATTAAGAACTCGTACTTGTTTAACCAGTGTAAATGTCCTATTAATAAGATAGGTCTTAGTTGACTATAATAGAATAAAATTTACATACAGCCTGCATGTTGTGGCCGTCGGCCATAGTTTTATATATATTTTTGTTAATTTTAGTTAGGCTTAGTATCTCCTCTGTTCTTTTGTCTTAACTGTTCTAGAACTTTCTCCCTTAATCCCTATTCCCTCGGGTGACATCACCGATTCTGTGAAACAATGTCAAGAAGACAAAAGGAGCAATAACCCCCTGGAGAGGAGGCGAGGTGAAAGAAAGGAGAAGTGGCTGCGATTTCGTCGAGAGAGGACGAAAACGAGTGTGGTCCTGACCGAGGGGTCGAGCAAGAAGTAAGAAACCTTGCGATAGAAAACCGAAGGAGGATCATACCCTGATCGCATAGTGAGAGATCAGAGGTATCGGAACCTTGTAAGACGGCTGAATTATAGAGGAACGTAGGGCAATTGCTAAAGAAATCGAGTTCCCCCATGTTCAAGTAACGGCAAGCGGGAAGACCACAAGACAACTTCAGAAAACGTAGACGTTCATAAGAGGAAAGAAAATAAGGTCTGCAGTCATTAAGAATTTCAAGACGGTGAATCATCCGAGACCACATGGCAGAAAACTCCCGAGTATTTTCTCCTTTATTCTACTACTATCCCTATCTATATTTTATTTCTCCTTCTTTAGTTTGTAAGTAAGTTAAGTTTAGCTATAAGTCGTGTGTCGGTTGTCACAATAGAGGCTTGTTTGTGTAGACGATTATTGTATGTATACGAACCCAATAGTCTGTAAGTTGGAATCATTTTAAAGAACCTGTGTTTGATGAATAAAAAAAATTTTGTATTTTTACTCGTTTTATATGTTTCCTGTCTGCAATAATATATTGCCCTCAAACGAAACTTCACAATGTAAACGTTTCAAATAACTTTGTTTGCCCACTTTCTCCACAATTGGGCATGAAATTTATACCAAACTTTGCTACGGTAAAATTTTAATTTAATATTTTGTTTCCAAATGATTTGTGGGTATAAAACTATTTAACATATTAAAATAATAGATATAATTGATTATTTTTGCACATTATCATTTAAACAATTTATTCATTTACAGTCTAAAAATATTATTCAAACTTATATCATAAAGTGCTAGAGAAAAATATAAATTATAATAAAGGGAAAGTATGGCAAACTGAAAACCTTGAGAAATGCAAAAAAATTCGGAGGTTTTTGCTGGTATCAAGATAGAAGGATATTTGTATTTTCGTGTATGTGGGAGGTTAGGATTTTGTTCACCCATTTTAAAGCTTAACTTCTGTCTTATATTGAAAATTTCTGAAATTTTGCAGAGAAATTTGCGTATTGGAGTATTGATGCTATTAAATTTTGATGGATGAAGGTTGAGGGATGGGGAGAGGGGGTCACCCATCAAATTTCGAATAGGGTCGGGCATAATGAAGATTTTATTGGTTATTGACATTTAGTATTTTTCACAAACTCATCTCCAGCTTCAAAATTACGCTTTTTGCCATTTTATAATAATTAATAAATATAAAAAGTATTTTAAATAAAATGTCTTAACGAACGGCACCACTAAAATTTTAAATTTTTTTGCAGGAAAAGTTACGCAACTGGCTGCTTAACTTTTTCGGCCTGAATAAGTACAGTACATCAAATGGAGGTTTTAAGTATTTGTTAGGACAGTTTCGTCCATGCAGATTAGATCAACGATTGGCAAACTTTTTCGAGACATCAATTTATACCCAATGCCCCAACGTGTCTTCCCGGGTTCGAGAAATAATATTAGCCGCACATGGCCATCAACATGCAGAAACATTACCATATTTTACGGAGTATAAGACGCACTTTTTTCTTCGAAAAATTGCCTCAAAAATTCAGGTGTGTCTTATACTCGAAATTAATATAAAAATGTCCATTGTTCCATTTAAAATTCCCGCCAGACTTAAAAATGGCCTTATATTTGATGCCGTGGGAAACCTATCTCTATCTGGCAAAATTGAATTCAACTGGCAGCAGCAGTGCACCGATGCGATGAACATGAGTTGCGGGAATTACGTGCGGCTAGAGATCCAGATGGCACAACGCGCTGATTGGTCAGCCGAATGACGTCAACCTACGAAAATCGGTAATGTTGAGCGAATAGCCCAAACTTTGTATTGTTGTTGTTGTTGTGAGAGCGGGCAGACATTATATAATAGTTATAGACATTTCATCTAAAACTTAATAGTAGGCACTTATTTATAATTCCACTAGCTCTTGTGTGTATTGACATTAATTGAAAATTTTGCAATAATTTTAACATAAAATTACGTGATATCAAAGATTTTAATGTTGAGACATTTTTAAACATCAAGAAACAGATAAAATATAATAAAAAGTAATTTAGTCTGCAAAAAATTACTTTGTATCATCTCTTTGGCTTAATTTATTTTCATTAGCCTAACCTACTAAGAAACAGATAAAAGAAGTAACTTCTTTTATCTGTTTTGTATTTTTGTAAGCTTTTTTGTACATTTACTATAATAATAAAATAATCAAAAACAACAAATGTAAATTGCAAATTAAGTTTTTTTTAACATTCTTTATTAGACAATACAGTATTTTTAACCTTACAGAAACTTGTATTTAATGTTTTATATATATATTACAACAGAATATGCTAAGTAAAAATGCAGATTAGTTAACAATTTAATATATATTTTCACCTAAACATAATTCATACTTTTTAATGCATAATTGTTAAAACATTTTAAATAATAAGTTATTTTTTCTACAAATTCTCTAATCCATTGGTTTGCTTTTCAAATCAAATCCTGTGAAAACTTAAATATAGACACTGGATATATATTTTTCTATGCAACCAGGTATACAGCACATACAAGGCATCTAGAAATAGTTATTCATTAGTATGGTAATATTATTTTAACAAAAAATAAAAAGGATTAAAAAAATAGTTTACTATGAAAACATTACAGTACAAATGTAACATTACTTTTTCCTGACACATATTGATAAACAATTTCCACGATGAAATGTATGGAAATTCTTATTTAAAACATATATAACTATTATATTCAAAGGAATTTAAATACTTACAGTATTATTGATTGTTAAATAATTTATACAAGAATTCTATACTTTTAATTTGAAAAATGGTCATACAAATTTGATTAAACATACTTACAGATATATCCATTATGGAACTGGATACATGAAATTTCTGTAAATTTGAAAAGTATTGTTTCTTAACACAGATTTTGAACTGACATTCAAAAGCACAAAATGTCTGTTGACAGAAAGAACTGTCAATTCTAACTAAAACATTATTCTTATCAGATTTTTTTTTAATCTATGGAGAATATTCTTTATTTAAAATTGTTCAACAACTTTTACATTTAAACTTTATAATTTGTTAAGCAAGATTTGTGAAAATTTCTCTTTCAGAGGTATACAAAACTTAGTTAATTTTATTGTTTCATCTAACTATATTAAATGCATGTGACAAATTCAAAGAATATTCTGACTTATCTTAATTAATTATAAATTTCATCCTTTCTCAATCTTTTTATGAATATCATCTGTAACAAAGTATAAATTTTCTGTTATTTATTATCTGTGCACGTAAATTTAAAACACTAATCACACTATTTAAATGATCTATTGTGTATGATTTGGTTCAGAGGTACTGTACATAAAGATCAAGTATGAAGTTAAAATTCGTTCAAAAAAAATAAATAATCATAGTAATTTATTAAGTAAAAGTAAACCATTTTAAAATTATTCCTATAAATTTAAGAAAACATGCGAGCTAAACTTTATACTGTATTTTCACTTTATACTCACTCAATATTACAACTAAAAAAATAATCTATTTCTGCGTGACTTCGTTCTGACGACCACAAAATATAATCGTCCAGCATTTCCTATTTCGGCGGGCTGACGTCATTCAGCTGACCAATCAGCGCGTTGTGCCATCTGGATCTCTAGCCGCACGTGCGGGAATTCACAAGCTTGTTAACACGTGTGACTAAATATCCAGATGGCACAAAGAGCTGATTGGTCAGCTGAATGACGTCAACACACCGAAGTATAGATTATATTTTGTAATCGTCAGAACGAATCGTGACAAAATAGATTATTTTTTTTAGTTGTAGTAATATGGAATGAGTATAAAGTGAAAATACAGCTGATTATTTTTTTTGAACATTTAACTTCATACTTGATCTATATGTAGGCTTACCATAAAATTTTTTTCTCAAACCGGGACAATTTTGAAAAATACACCGTAACCAGTGTTTTCACCTCTTCAATATTGCTCTTTAGAGCTGAGAAGCAAAAAAAAAAAAAAAGGTCAACAGGTTCGCTACAAAATTAATAGTTATCCTGGGCAATGAATTAGAAACCGGACAACAGATTAAGGCTACTAGGATAAGTATATACTGTATATATGATTAAAAAGGCTAAATACAGTAGAGATAAAAGCAACTTTTAATACATTACATCTTTTTTTATTGATAATATTTTTGAACCAAACATATCTTATTATTATATTAATATTTGTCGCTACTGTGTACTTTCTTTAAAAATTCTTTGTTATGTTTAATGACATCAAAAAATTCGCTGCAATTTAGTTCACTGTTAATTTTGCAGTGTAGTAAAGCTTTCACGGTTGATTCAGCCATTCTACCTCTTTCTTCAGACCATATGATATTCATTATTGAGAATACTCTTTCGACTGGCGCAGATGTACTTGGCATGCTGAAAATGTATTCTATAATTTGAGTAAGATTGGGCAATGAAATCTTCTTTTCTTTGAAATGATTGAAAAGTTGTATCCATTTTTCTTCACAACTTGTATTTTTCCAACTTTCATAGTTAGCTGACCAAAAAGCTTTGGCAATCACTACTTCATCAAACAGTTGATCCATGTTTATTGTATTATTTGCAACAGTTTCATTAACTTTTTCACCTGAAGCTTCAATTTCAGACCATTTTAATTCATTGTTGTTTATTCAAGTAAAATATTCTGCTCCACCAAAACTTTTTTCCCATAGCTTGATGTAAGAAAGACATCTGTCATAAAATGCTGTAAACTCTTGTAGGATTGTATTGATATTAATAATTCCATTATTTTCTAGTATTCTAAAAGTTTTTTTGCTTCTTGGGGCATAAATTTATTATCACGCCTTTCCTGAAGGTTTGTTTTTAATTTTCCAAGTTCACTGATGATATCAGTTGCACTCGCATTTGTACTTTCCATAATCAAGATAGCTTTGTTAAACAATTTGAGTTGCCCTTGCACAAACCACAGATACATTTCACTACAGTCATTATCAAAAAACTGTTTTATCATCATTGGACAGTGTTCTTGTGAAATAAAATAAGATTTTAGTCCTTCATAGATTTCAAGTATTCTGTCAATAGCTGGAAGTAGCGAAAGAAAACGGGTGTTTCCATGTTTAAGAACCTTTTTATACTCTACGTCTACAAATTCACAGAACTCTTTTAATTGAGTGACTCGAACAGTATAAATGTAGAAAAATTTATAAATTTTGACCACTAAAGCTTCTATTTCAATAGGTAGAACATCAACTGCAGTTTGAAGGCAGTTGTGTACAATGTGAGCACCACAACCAATGCCAACAATATTTCTTCCTAGTTCCTTCTTTAATCTACTGTAAATATTGTTTTCTCCTCTACGTTTAACACCCCCAAAATTAGTATTGCAATTATCTCCACAAAATCCAATAACTTTTTTTGCTATATTATGAGTTTTAATAACTGACATTAAATGATTTGTCAGAATTTCTGCAGTTTCACCGGGAACTGATTGAAAGTCTAGAAGCTTAACTTTTACGCCACAATCTGGTACAAAATACCGCACAACAATTGGCATAGTTTTAATTTCTTTCCTGTTGGAACAATCTATTGATACCGTCACAAAATTTGCTTTATTTAAATCTTCACATAGCTGCTGAAACAACAGTGGCTCAATCACATTAACAATAACAGCTTCACATTTTGTTCTGGCTAGTCTAAACTTTGTTTCAAAGAGCCTCGAAATCAATTTAGATGAACAATCGGCTGACTTAAAGCTGAGATTGTGAATAGCAACATGAAATGCAAAAGTTGCTTCTTTAGCTGTTATTAAAAATTCTTTGTCATTTAAATCGTTACCTTTAAAATAAGACAATATATTCGATGAAGTTCCTTCTTCTGTTACTAGGCTTGCCTTGTGTTTCGCACATTTCACGTGATTTTTAATGTCAGAACGTCCACCATGACTTATTGAAAATTCCGAAAAGCACAGTTCACATTTTACTTTGTCCATACGATTACAAACTTTTTTTAAAAACGGGTATTCTTTTTTTAACTCATCGGTAAACACACAGCTTCTTTTTGGCATTTTGGATTAATTAACGTACCGTACACTGCAAAATAATTGTAAATGTCGACTAGCAACTTCAACGCGACTAAGATAAGACATGCGCAGCAATGACGTGCCAGTATGTTTCGTGTTGCCAACTTTAATAAAAACAAAATATCTAAAAAATGAAATAAAATATCCAGATCTCATAGGCTACATGCTATTATAAAATTTGTGAAAAAATATTTAAATTCATTAGACCACATGCTATAAATTTTGGGGAAAACATCTAGACAACATTAAAAGTACTTAGATCTAGATACGAAATATTTAGATTGGCAACAGTTAGTGTAACAGAGGAGTAATTGCCAAATCGCTATTTTACTCGAGGCTGCACTATTTTTACTACTTGTATATTCGGCACTTTTAAAATTTTCCAAATAACCGGGACAAAATGACAAACTGGCCGGGACACCGGGACAACATCGTCAAAGCGGGACAATCCCGGTCAAAACGGGACGTCTGGTAAGCCTATCTATATGCACCTCTGAACCAAATCATACACAATACATCATTTTAATAGTGCGATTAGTGTTTTAAATTTACGTGCACAGAAAATTCATACTTTGTTGCAGATATTATTCATAAAAAGTTCGAGAAAGAACGAAATTTATAATTATTCTTTGAATTTGTCATATGCATTTAATATAGTTAGACGAAACAATAAAATTAACTAAGTTTTGTGTACCTCTGAAAGAAAAATTTTCACAAATCTTGCTTAACAAATTATAAAATTTAAATGTAAAAGTTGTTGAACAATTTTGAATAAAGAATATTCTCCATAGATTACTCTTATCATTTTTTTTTTGTTTTAGTTAGAATTGACAGTTCTTTCTGTCAATAGACATTTTGTGCTTTTGAATGTCAGTTCAAAATCTGTGTGTTAAGAAACAATACTTTTCAAATTTACAAAAATTTCATATATCCAGTTCCATCATGGATATATCTGTAAATATGTTTAATCAAATTTCTATGACCGTTTTCAAATTTAAAGTATAGAATTTTTGTATAAATTATTTAACAATCAATAATACTGTAAGTGTTTAAATTCCTTTGAATATAATAGTTATATATGTTTTAAATAAGAATTTCCATACATTTCATCGTGGAAATTCTTTATCAATATAAGTGTCAGGAAAAAGTAATGTTACATTTGTACTGTAATGTTTTCATAGTAAACTATTTTTTAATCCTTTTTATTTTTTGTTAAAATAATATTACCATACTAATGAATAACTATTTCTAGATGCCTTGTATGTGCTGTATACCTGGTTGCATAGAAAAATATATATCCAGTGTCTATATTTAAGTTTTCACAGGATTTGATTTGAAAAGCAAACCAATGGATTAGAGAATTTGTAGAAAAAATAACTTATTATTTAAAATGTTTTAACAATTATGCATTAAAAACTATGAATTATGTTTAGGTGAAAATATATATTAAACTGTTAACTAATCTGCATTTCCACTTAGCATATTCTGTTGTAAAATATATAAAACATTAAATACAAGTTTCTGTAAGGTTAAAAATACTGTATTGTCTAATAATGTTAAAAAAACTTAATTTGCAATTTATATTTGTTTTTTTTATTTTATTATTAATTAAAGTAAATGTACAAAAAAACCTTTAAAGAATACAAAACAGATAAAAGTTACTTCTTGACGTTTAAAAATGTCACAGCATTAAAATCTTTGATATCACGTAACTTAGTTTAATGTTAAAATTATTGCAAAATTTTCAATTAATGTAATACACACAAGAGCTAGTGAAATTATAAATAAGTGCCTTTTTAGATGAAATGTCTATAACTATTATATAATGTCTGCCCGCTCTCGCAACAACAACAACAATACAAAGTTTAGGCTGATCGATCAGCATTTCCAATATTGTGCCATCTGGATATTTAGTCATACGTTTGCTAACACTGTCTCCCTCCCGCTCTGCCATCACAAACCCAGAACACCGTCTAAACTATGATGTGTCATTGCAGTCTACAATGCCAGTGAACTTGAATTGAAAATAATTTGTGTTATTGGTAACAGTACAATATTTTTGTTAGTAGCTAGTTTCATAATGGAAAAAATAAAAGGTGTTCATATAATGCAGGCTATAAATTGAAAGTAATAGCATATGCAGAAGAACATAGAAACAGAGCAGCTGAGTGGCATTTCGGCCCTGCACCAACAGAAAAAACCATTCGTAATTGGCGGGCTAGTAAAAAAGAACTGAAAAAATGAGGAAGACTAAATGTGCAAATAGAGGACTGAATGCAAAATGGCCAAAACTAGAAAATGACGTATTGGAATGGATTCAAGGACACCATCAAAATGGCATTGGAATTAATATAAAAATGATTCAAATACATGCTCGTAGCCTAGCACTACAGTGGAACTTAACAGACTTTAAGGGTGGAGTTGGTTGGTGCTACAGGTTTAAGAAGCATTATGGTCTTAGCATGCAAACCAAAACCAAAATATCTCAGATGATGCTACAAGAATATGAAGAGAAAATATTATCTTTCCATTGCTTTATTACTTAACATTGAAAGAAAACCAGTGTGGAACTAAGCCAAATAGCAAATATGGACGAAACTCTTCTGACATTGATGTGCTGAGTAACAGAACTGTTGCCATGAAAGGTGCTACAACTGTAACTATAAAAACAAGTGGACATGAAAAAATGCACTACACTGTTGTCCTTTCATATTGTGCTGATGGTACTAAACTTAATCCAATGATCATGAAGGTTTTGCACTTGCAAAACAATGCCAAAACCATCTGAAATACCGCCAGGTGTTGTTGTTCACGTACATGACAAGGGTTGGATGGACGAGGCTGGTATGAAATTATGGATTAACAGAGTGTGGGAGAGAAGGAAAGGTGCTTTATTGAAGAAGAGTTCTTATCTTCTTGTGCTAGATTAGTTTAGTAGTCATTTGAAAAATTCTGTGAAAGACAAATTGAGACAGGGAAAATACAGAACTTGCTGTTATTCCGGGAGGACTTACTTCACAATTGCAACCTCTTGATGTCTCGATAAATAAATAATTTAAAGTGTATATGAGAGAGGAATGAAATAAATGGATGAAACCCAATATGAATTCATGCCGAAGGGAGCTTTAAAGCGACCTACAATCAAACAAGTTTGTCAGTGGATAAAACAGTCGTGGTCTACAGTGAGAGAAGACATTATTGTTAAATCTTCCAAGAAGTGCATAAGTAACGCTCTCGATGGCAGTGAAGACCATCTTATATATGAAGAGGACGACAAAGAGGAAGAAGCAAGAAGAAGAAAGTTCAGATGATGCTTTTCAGGGATTTTAAAGGTCAGTTCGGTTTTATAAACTAAAAATTTTTTTAGTCTGGCTTTGCAATCTAATAATAAGAATGGTAAAAATGTTATTTTTTAAAAAATTGCTTAAAAATTACGGTGCGTCTTATAGTTTGTAAAATACGGTAAATGAGTAAATTTCTTCTTCCCTGTTTTAGTGGAGGGACCCCTGCTGCCTGACAGTTTTTTTCCAACCACTTTGGGAACCACTGGGATTGGTGGAACTGCGGCCTTAGAGAGCTGTCAAACGTTTGGCATTGATCTTTTTCTCAAGCTTTGCATGGAAAAATCGTTCTGGTCCAAAAGGCAACTTTGTTACCCAGGGGGCTTCAAGTTTAGTCTTCAGACGGGTAAAACGTGTTTTTGCTCTGCTCTGAGATTTTTCAGTTTTTGGATTGTTAAGCCTAATTTTAGGGTTAAGCTAGGTCTCCCTGTGTTAAAGTATAGGATTTTAGTCCTATATTAGGGTTAGCTGAGTAGTTAGGCTTAGTTTTGCTAAGCCTAACTTTTAGGCAGCTTTTAAATAGCAAGTTTCTGTAATTTGTGTGCCACCATCTTGGCCTCCCCAACCAGGGTGTTGAAGACATCTTTTGGCAACCATCTTGTGTGGACTTGGAAGAGTGTGATCATCACTTCAACAGGAGGAAGCTGGACACCTTTTGCTATCTTTGGATTAGGCAGGGAACACCAAAAGAAGCCCATCTGTCTCACTTGCTGCCTTTGCATAGGGGATGTCGCCATGGCACCAATACAGAAGTTAGACGGTCGTGAAAAACTGACTACCCAGCTTGGCCTACACAAGACAAGGCATCCCACTCTGTTGATAGGTGGTTAGGGTGCTTTTGGTGTGCCACATTATCTGACTGTTACTTAGGCGACATTACATAATTTTGAAGCACCCCAACGCAAGAGCTCTCATCTGGACAACTGACATCAGAATAGTATACAGGACTTCAAGTAAGTACCCTGCTGTTTAATTATTTAATCAACAGACTTTATTCAGTCTCCCTGGCACTTGAAGCAACCCAGCTAGGCTGCTTGGACTAGTGTGTCACCTGACTTGGAAACTTGGGTGCCTATCGGTTATAGACTAATGTGTCGGTTGAACTGTTGGTGTCATGTGCAGTGTTTTACTGTTTATTTGGAACGCGAGTCTACTATACATCCATGTTCACAGATTCCGGCTCTACTATCATCTCAAATTTCTTGGAGGAATCCTTCAGGATCTTAGACAAGATGAAGGGTTATTGTGCAAACAACCCTAACAGGCACCTCAAAACTGGGGATCACATCCTTATATTACTGAACAGTTTACAAAAATCATCAAATTGGCAAAAGTAACTCTTAGGGATAATATCATGCCAGAGGCCATTGAACAAAGGTTGGCTCTCCTTCCATCTAGGGAGGATCTGCTTCACATGGTTACATCCGAAGTGGATAAAACCAGGCAATGCATAATTGAAAGAACTGAGAGAATTCATGATGGTGCAAGGAGGGGAATCATTGATGAAGATCTTGCATTAGTTAATAATAAATTAAACCAGATATTGGAAAAAGACAAAGAGGAAATAATTATTAATAAACAAGAGAATATACTGAAAATGTTAAGTTCCTTCTTAATGTAGAAGGTATGGTTGCTGTATCTTTAAATTCTGTGTGTAGCGTCCTTGCAATCCAAACAATAATTTTGGTAGACAATCAAACAGCAATTAGTTAGAAAAACATTACAGTTTATTTAAAACACTTTTTTTAAATTCATATGCATTTCAGGTTGGCTTGTATTCCCAACCCCTCTTCAGTGCTGAAGAGGGATTGGGTTGTTAAAATTACAAAAACAAGGTGAGTTTCACAACATTGGTAAGTATGACATAAAAAAAAGAAGTAAACACGTGACATGCAAGTTTATTAACACATTATATCACATGTAAGTTTTTTTATATTATTGTTTACCCCTCTTTTTTTACGTCATACTTACCAATGTCATGAAACTCACCTTGTTTTTTGTAATTTTAACAGCACTGAAGAGGGGTTGGGAATACAAGCCAACCTGAAATGCATATGAATTAAAAAAAAAAGTGTTTTAAATAAACTGTAACGTTTTTCTAACTAATTGCTGTTTGATTGTCTACCAAAATTATTGTTTGGATTGCAAGGACACTACACACAGAAGTTAACTTCCTTAACTAAAGGAATTTCTTTCTTATAGTGACACTGTTAAAACTAACTCAAATATCCCTGTTCAGAGAACACAAAATTGTAGGGCACAGAGCATAAATCCACATGTGCTACTAGTTTATAATAAGGACAATAAAATTGGAAGCAAGCAAACCATAAAATTATTACAACAGGAGCTAAATCCATCAAAACTAAAACTAGGGGTCAATAAAATTAGAAAGATAAGGAATGGCAGCATTGCCATAGAGCTGGAAAAGCATTCAAATATAGAAACTCTTAGCCAGTCAATTGAAAAGTTTACCCCAGACCTTATTACCAAGATCCCCAATAAAAGATTACCCAAGATGATTCTGACTTCTATCCCTGCGGATATCACCAAGGAGGACATCATACGTTATATATATGAACAGAACTTGCAACTCAATGAGATGATCTCAAAAGAAGAATTTCAGAAAAAATGCATGCTAAAATTTCAGGTGGGTAAAAAGGGGAAGCCCTACACCAACTGGGTCATGGAGGTCTCTCCAGAGATGAGGAAAATGTATCTAAAGATTGGGAAAAATAACATCCAATGGTCAAGGTGTCACATCCAAGACTTTTTGCAGTTCTTCAGTGCTTCAAATGCTGTAAGTTCAGGCATTCCACAAGGGACTGTATGTAGCCTGCCCACCCCAGTTTGCAGTTAGTGTGCAGGGCATCATGTATTTAAGAAGTGTCCTAATAAGCACAAAGACCCCATCTGCAATAATTGTAAGCAAGGCAGCCTCCATTACAAACATAATGCTAGGGACAACACATGCTCCACCTATCAGAAAATAAGGAAATCCATAATAGAAAAAAACTGATTATGGAGCAGAACACCAACAATGAAATTAAAATCTTGCAAGTTAATTTTGGAAGGGGGATAGATGCTACCTCCCTTCTTAATAATAAGCTAAATAATTTAGATATCTGTCTGATTCAGGAGCTGTACTGTGTTGGGAATAAGCCGGCCTGCATTTCTGCAAGCATCATGACTATCCATGGCACCAGGAGCAACCAATGGAGCCTGATTCTTGTCCCAAACAACAGTCTCTCTATTCTCTGGTAATTATCAACAGTCAGGATCTTGAATGCAATGTTCAGCATGCTTTAACTAAACACCCAGCCACTCCTAATAAGACCAACTTCTACCAACCCGACCATGTGGATATAGAAATCTTTACTGATGGATCCAAAGCAAATTTCAATGTAGGCAGTACCTTTGTTGCCTTCCACAACAATGAGAAGATTGCCTCTGGTCAGCACAGGTTGGGCAATCACTGTACTGTTCTCCAGGCTGAGATGTTTGCCATCAGGTCAGCCGTGGCCTGGTCTGTCTCCAACTTTGCAGGCAAATCTGTGGCCATCATCTCAAACAGTGTATCTTCAATCTCCCTCATAAAAAAAAAACCATTCCTGTCATCACATCTCCACAGATATACAGGACACTACCAACAATTCCTGCAATCTTTTCTTCATCTACTGGACACGTGCTCACCAGGGCATGCTTGCCACAGGCTGTGAAATAGTATTAAATTCAGTAAAAATAAGGAAAAAAGAAAAGAATAATTACAAAAGACAACTTTACAAACATATTAATATAATTAGACAAAATAACAGAATAAATAGTAATACTGGTAGAAAAATGCACCAATTATGGCGAAGAATCATAGAGGACCCACGTGTCTGAAGGATAAAAAGAACAATCAAAAGTGGAGACGAGGAGTAAATCAAATTGAACAGGAAGAGATGTAAGTTGTAAAAATAGTAAATAAATGTAAAAAAATAGATATAATGTAAAACATTAATACAATAATTTGTTTTAGTACAGGATTCAGTTTACAATATTATTGTTGTTATTGCTTAAAAGTGAATGTCCGGTGGAGTTAAAAATGAAAGAAAAAAGTCTGAAAATTGTAAGAATTTTATTAATGTAAATAATAAAATTCTTACAATTTTATAATTATTCTAAATAAATAAATAAGTTTGTCAGGAAATGAAAAATGTATTTTTAAAATTATTTTATTGTTTTAATTTATATAGAATGGGCTACAAAAATACCTGCTGAAGACAGACGAAAGAGTCCAAAACGCCATATTATGTATGTGTCCAGGTATATTAAATAAAAATAAAAAATTGTTTTTTGTGAAACTCTGTAGCAGTATCTGTAAAGCCAGTATAATAAGTCCTGATATTAGAAAATACGTACTTGTAGACAAAAATTTATATTATAGTAAGTCAAGGACATTGAGGCGTTTTAATTAAACATTTGGGAAAATGACCACAGCCACGCTACTTTTAAATTCATCCCAGTTATTGATAAATGGATTCATGTCAGCGACTTCTTTACCCAGTTCCTGACTGGGCACGGGTGCTTCTATTTTTATCTCCATTGCTTCAATCTCTCTCAGACTAATTTATGTGATTTTTTTATTTTGCCAGACAGTATTGATCATTACATTTTTGATTGCATTAGCCTTCAGAAGGAGAGGCACTACCTTCGATCCTCTGTCAAGGAGTGCGGGGATGTCTGGCAGGGGGCACAGGAACCTCCTGAAGCACCATAACTATAAATTATTTAAGGAACTGATTAACACCTATTATAGGCTCAGCAAGGTCCCCAGACTGAGATATTAATTTGGCACCAACAGGCCCTCATCTTCTTTTCTGCATGTCTTTCTAAGATCAACAGGATTATATTATTATTGTTAGTCATGCACATCGTGTCTCACTTGTATATATGTCATTGTATGCAATGATTTAACATTCTCTGTATACTTTTATTTTAATGTATTGATAATTTTTACCATATTTAATCACTGTATCTAGTATGTATTGTCGTGTTTCATTATCTAAACTCTAATAATATGTGATTGTTATATTGCTTCTATCTTGTAAGTACTTAATTTAATGTAATTTCTTATCCACACAACTAGCTATGCTCTGTAGCACTGGTATTGTATGATATACACTCTAATAAAATATATTGTATTGTATTGTGTTACCAGAGGAAAATAAACACGCCTTGCCAAAACCATTGACCATTCACATTGGCGGTAAATGAAAACCAACAATTTCTTTACCGCTAATGACCAGTTGATGGAGTTTTCTTTTTTCCCCACTTAAAAGTATTTCTTACCACATTCTTTCCACGTAATTTCCTGGAAAGGTTCCAAACAATCCGGTTCGAAGAGAGGTGCCCACGAACCAACCGTCATCACATTTCTCTAAAACGTAGACAGTGTCCCGCTCTTGTAATTCCAGCTCATCCTCATTTTGTGGTTTGTAATTATACAGAACTTTATACCTAAAAGAGAAAAAGTTTTAAATCGTCGATCAACATTCTCGGCCTTTTAATCAACTGTGCCGATTCTTAGTTTACTAACGAGTGCAATCCTGGCCATGCAGTGAGTGCCATGACAATGACAAACACCAGAAATTAAAAGATAACGATCGTAATCATCCACATCGATAATAGTGGACCGCATTTCTTCCTTTCTTATGTCACATCCAATTTCTGACTCCGGGCAGCGGGCAGCTAAAAGTCCGGAGCCACTGTTTCTACCACCCACGAAACCTGAATGGGCAGAATATTTTTCTGCCCATTGGTATGATGCGAGGAAAGACTGGTGGGTTAAATATACGGACGAAATGTAATTTGGACTAAAGATGGACGATTTAATTGCCGCCTCACATTCCATTACAGTTATGTTAATTAATTATTTATACTAGATGGCGACTTAAATGCCACTTTTGTTTGAATTATGTAATATCTGGCAAAGGTGCTCAGATGGCTGGTGGTTTAGGCCCGGGCCTACGCCTTGCCAGACCTACCGTCCCGGATATATTGCATACCTTCCCATTGTCGGCTTGGCCAAACCTGTCACAGGGATTGTCAAAAGACTTTCTTAGCGTCTGTGAGACAGAAAAAGTAAAATGATAAAAACAAATCCGACAAAAAATGAATTTGAAAAATTCGTATTTCCTGGGGCAAGCTATAACAACAACAACAACAACATCAATACATGGGACATAGTCCAACAATGTTACACAATAAAATCTAGAAAAGTTGTTGCGATGTCGTCACCGGGTTGCAACTTTTAATAATATTTTGAATTGTATTTTTAATTTCAAATGTATCTGAAATTAGTAGTATCTTGACTCTGTACAGTACCTCTTACTTTTTCCAATAAAGATGGAATTGTGCCAGTCATCTATGAAACTCCATTCTGTTGTAAATTTTTGAATTGAAATCATATGTATTCTTGTGTAAACAGGAAGTTCTTATATAATTCATTGCAGCCTCCTGTCACTAAACTTTCCATATCCGGTCTCAATTTTCTAGTGTCTAACACCATTCTTGAGATTATGGAAAGACAGATGACAATGGTTGAAATTTGTAAATCTACAATTTTTTAAAATTGCAGCCAAAAAAATAAAACAAGATAATAATACAACTCACTAGTCACTACCTAATTAAAGTCAGAGAGCTTATTAGTTCCAACGAACCACAGAGCAATACCAGTGGGAGCACAAACTTTCAGTAGGACAACACATGATAGTAACATCTATGTGATGAAATGAAGAAATGACTGATCTGGAAAACACACTGTTTAGCAGCTTACCCAAGCTGCTAAACAGTGTGTTTTCCATGTTGTGGAAGCTGATCTATAAACTCCAAGATTCCATAACAGAACAGAAGAATAAAACATTTATTAATGTTGTATCTCTATATGTTGTATAGATTTTTAATCACTGAAAGTTGTCCATGTGGCATAAAAACATCAATGAATAAGTTCTTCACAGATATGGGTTTTACCATTGACAGCAATGCCTACTAATCTATTTTTGTAATGAGTTGCAGTGTTGACTGCTTGGGCCCAAAATTTTTTTGTCTAAATTTGCACAGATTGGTGTAGATCAAACTGTTTCAATTAGGGTTCAACTATACCATTTTGTACTGGAATGCATTCGGTTAACAGCTGGTGTTGAATGCCACAGCTTTGTAATTTTTCATGTCATTATGGATATATGCAAAATGTCATACAGCTTTTATCATCTCTTAAACTAAGTATGTATTGTGAATCACTAATTGAAGCTGTTTCTAATAGTTTACATAGGTTGGAATGTATCAACTGTAGAAGTTTGGTGGCTCTGTATGATTTACCCTTTAGAAATAGTTTATGAGTATGCTTTCCTTCTACACAGTGCATAACACGTGTATTGAGGATGCATTTGAATTCTAATCTTTTCATCATTGGTTTAAGCCTATTTAATTGTTCGAAACTAATACGGGCTAATCTCTTCTACCAAAGTTCAACAGACTGAGTATTACTGGATATTAATGCTAATTTTTGCGACATGTCTACTTACATAAATCACTTCCAATAAAGGTTCCATGTGGCAATTAGTTCTCTTATTAAGTAGTTCACAATGGTTTTTATCAAATAGAAATTTAATATTAAAATCATTTGCTAGATATTTTATTGATATTGAGTTAAAGTAATCTTCTAACAACAAAGCATTAATTATAAATAAATAAAACTTACAAACCTTATTACACTTTGCAAGTGGTTTTGAAAAACTATTACGTTATTAATGTTTTCAGTCCACTTTTAAGATCTTCCTTGGGTAAAGCTTTTTAAACTCGACTCTCCAATGCTAATAGTGTTCTATTTTGGAATGCATAGGACTTTGAATGCGTCAAAATCATATGCATTCCAAAATAGAACACTACTAGCACTGGAAAGAGTTTAGTTTATAAGATTTTACCTAAAAAAAGATTTAGAAATGGACCAAAAATATTAGTACAGTGGTACCTTGGGATACGAATGCCCCATCATACGAAATTTTCAGGATACGACACGAAATTCGAACATATTTTTGCTCCACAATACGAACAAAAACTCACCATATGACGTTACATTAGTTCGCAATGCCATTTTTTATTCATTTCTGTTCATTGGTTTCAGTCCGCATGTTTGCTTCATCGTGGAAGGATCTTGCTCGATAAAGGAAATCTTGAGGTATTATCAGAAAGTGACTGATTTTATTGAAAAAAAACATCCCAAAAAGGTTCACACTGACCATATTGCTGCTCAGAGTAATGACATTTGCCTAAGTCATTTTAGAAACATTTTAAAAAGTAGGCAAAGCCAAACTTCTTTGGATAGATATTTTACCAAGCGACCTCTATCCAGTGAAAGTGCTAGTTGGAAGTGAAGGAAAGAAAGCAAAAAGCAGTGAATAAAAATTTAAAAAAATATATATAAACAACACTAATTTTTTTTTATCTTTTCTAAGTTATTTTTAAGTTGTTACATTATGTTATGTAAGTTAAGTTTTAGTATCATTTCCCTTCTCCCTCCACCAGTTTACACCTCCACCGTCGTCTATTCTCAAAAGTAAAGTGCAAATAAAACTACATTTTTTTTAATCAATTATTATTCTATTATGGTTATTTATACATTTACAACTACAAAATGCATTTTTCAGTGTTTTCCTTACTATAGTTGTTTTTTTTTTTAATGTACTTAGCTTTAATTTTAGTGTGTTTTTGTGTTGGAACGAATTATTTGGTTTTACATGTAATCGTATGGGAAAAAATGATTCACCTTACGACATTTTCATGATACAATCTCAGTTTCGGAACAGATTAATTTCGTATCCTGAGGTACCACCATAATGTAATAGTTTTTCAAAACCACGTGCAAAGAACAATAAAGATATCAAGTTGGCTGATAATCCAGGAACATATAATACATTTCCTAAAGATTATTTCTACATCATCTTTCCTTGTGTGACATTACCTTCACCTCACAGACTAGCATTTTTCCTGCAGTTTTAATATTTGAGGGCAAGATACGATAATTGTCTAGCCATCTTCATTGGGAATCATATACCTATTAGCACCAGTGTCTAGGATCAATTCTGAGAGTTGTTTCTCTGATTGATTAAGAGCAGTACTGACTGCAAGTAGTATATTCATTTGTGCTTCTTTTTTATTGATCACTTGAAGTTTTTCCATTGTTTTGCCTTTTAAAAAGAGTATCATGTGTTTTATTTTACAATTATTAGCTTTGCAAGTAAATCCCTGTCATCTAAGTGGTATGAAATTGTTAATTTCCTCTCATTCAATGGCATGCCATCCATGGAAGCTGTGGAAGAGCTGCTTCCCTTGTATTTTCTAAAATATACATACANATAATTATGTTTATATTTCTGATTTCAGAATAAAGTTTAAAGAATTAAGAATTGTTTATGGGTTCTCTGTTCTTGAAAATTTTTTTGAAAATCTTGCAATTAAATTCATGTAAAAGATCATTAATATGAGTAATGATCTGTGGCATGCCGTCCATGGAAGCTGTGGAAGCGCCACTTCCCTTGTATTTTCTAAAATATACATACATATTGTTTGATTATTTTCATATTTTAACATACTTTAAATTACTTAAAATTAATATTTTATTACAACCGCATTATGTATCTTATTACAAATTTCTATACTACGTGTGAAAAAAAAATGATAAGATTGCTATTGTATATTTGAACATAAATTCGTATATGCATATTCCTATTGAAGAGCTGTATTGTCAAATACGGGATAGCTTTCACCACGAAAATATTTGAATTGCGTAAAGCAGCCAGATTATACACATTTGCGCATACGCTTTACAGAGCACCAACCTTTGGCAGTTTAGCTGGTGATGCTACACACCAAAATATCATATAATGCTTCCAATAATTTTATCCATTAACCACTGAGTCCCACTAGGGCCGTTGTCGGCGTTGGATGTAGTGTACTTCACTCTGATTTTGGATACCTGAATTGACGGTATTACTGCTAGATTGTAGGTTTGATGTGTTGTATTCTGTTGCTGACGTCTTCCGATTGTTTTTAATGTTTATTTTGTGTAAACTGGTTGAGTATCTGCCGAATAACAGTTGTTTTTAGACTGCAACCATGTGATTTCATGGTACACGTTTTGGGTCGCACTTTTCTCACAAACTGTTTATCTTAAAAAGAAAAAGTTCATCATTTAGAACTTCTTGTTTTTGTACAATATTTACAGTGGCATTCTCAGATAATATATTATATGTAACTTTATCATCATCATCATCTGAAGTTTGTGTAACTAAAAATAATTTCTGATGAAAAGATTATTCATATTTATCATTTTTATCAGAAATATCACTAATAGGATCTGTGTTTTCCATTTCTTGAGTTTTACTAGGAATATTGATTTGCTCATCATCTGAATTTTTACTGATACTTAAAGTTTTGTTTTCAGGTGACCTTATTCATTC